ATGCTCCATCCATGCTCCGAGGCCGCGCGCGGCATGGTTAGTCACCAGGGATCGACAGAGGCTAGCACTTGTTGGCAAGCCTGCCCCGAACTCACGTGCGCCTGCATCTGGCATTCCATCCATTGTTGGTCTTCTTGGCCCTTGTAGCTTCAATTTCAACCGGCGCAATGTGTGTTGCGATGGAAGCCAGTTGTGATACAGCTGGGGTCCATTGACACAGTCGGTGAGCAAATGGGGCAATGTCCGGCAGGCGAAGGAAGCAAAGACGTGCAATGCGTGAGGACCATGGCCAACTTTATTGGGAGGCTGAGCTGCCGGATATAGCCGTCGATGATTACAAAACACGTCGATTACTTGGCACTCTAACCAAGCTATGAAGGTCTCCTCTATTGCATATCTGACGACGCATCAATGATTTGACCTTAGCTGCACCTTGTCCGACTTGTGTCCTCCGAACCCTAGTGCGTTTTCCTGCAATGCTACATCTTGGCCTGGCACAGGACTCGGTAACCGTTTGGAGATGGGGTGTGAGGGCGAGCATACCACTAGTCTAGATCTCGCCCATTCCACTTCTGAGTGGACCAAAACATGTTGGGACGGGTCACCTGGGCCTCTCAGGGCCTTAGGCGCTTCCACTCTGTCTCTTTCGCGCCCATCACACGCGGATCAAGCCTGCCGGCGCTGACGTGCCTACAGCGTTGATTGACTGACGGCGTCTTGCACTAGGCCGCGGTTGGATATCTATTAGTACTTCCAAGCCTGCTGTCTTTCGTATGGATCTCGAAACTAAGGCCATGTTTTGACCAAGGGCCTATATAGAAGACGCAAAGGCGCACCCAGTATCTGTGAAGCCGTCTTCAAAGGCGAAACTGGCCACTATTTAGCAGCAGCAGCTGACAAGTTTAAAATACCATTTCCCGAATGCTATCAGCGCAAAGCTGAGGATCATAGGATGAAGATCACATATCTGAGCAGTTTGCCAAACTCCACAATGGCAATGCCCCCTTCTCATCGTACGCAGCCACGGTAATCCCAACTTGAGCAACGCTTAGCTAAAACCAGAAGCCCAGATACTCGACCAGGCATTCGCCATGGTGCCTGGGCAGAACCAAACGTGGGGACCAAAACGAAGAACCGCAGCGATCTGGACTTGTGTGAGTGCCTGGAGACAAGACACCCGCCGACAAGGACTGACATATAACATCAGTGCAGATGCGGTAATGGAGGAATGGAGATAGGTACCATGTATTGTTGGAAATGTGAGATCCTAAGATGCGGTTATTGTACAGTCAACCGCTTTCCAGTGAAGGACGTATTAGGATCTATGTGATCATTTGCTTTCTGGCTATACATGACTTTCATGATCTGAAACCTTGGAGAAGCCGAAGATTGCTACGATTTCTGCCTCAGAGCCGGTTTATTCGAACGGTCTACCTCTTGATGTACGCAGCATAGACAAGGTTGAATCTACGGGTCAAAACAGGCAAAGAAAGAGCTGGAGCGGGTACGCAAAGAGGAGTACCACAGTGCACCCATAAACTCCACCGAAATGGGGCATCGTAGAGCCGGTGTGTGCTGGGGTCAATCTCTTTGCTGCAAGTCAAGTGGGGCGTCCTTAAACACACAACCAAGTACAGTGTACGTAACACTGAGCCTGGAAGTCGCGACACGCCCCCGACTTTCCACGGACAAGGGTGCCGGTACCGCCTGCTCGCCTTCCAAGCACCCCGAATCGGGTGGCTTTGGCGCCGCAACAGGGGCCGCTGCGCGTGGCAGGCCACCAATCACACATTGCCTAGCAAGCCAGATCGCACCTAATCATGTGGTTGTTTGCCAACGACGCGCCAATCCCTGTCAGGTCCCCTTCCCTGCTCTCCGCCGGAACGAGCCTGCCAGGGTCCGGCGACTTCTTTACAGCCCGTGAGTGATTCATCTTCCCCAGGTCAGCTACCTCTTCCGTGCAGCTCCGCTCTAGTTGACCTGTCAAGTGTCGCCCGGCGGGAAACACGCGAAACCACTGCCTGTCTTGGAGAGTGCTTGATCCCGGGAAGCTTCTCTCCTTCCTTCTCCCTGCGTTACCCGCACAATGTAATGAACACCGCCGGGCGACTACGGCCGCCAGGACCTGCATGGAAGTGAATCGATACCTTCGGGAGGTTGTTAGGCTCCGTGAAGTCGACAAGGGATCGTTCCCTGTTCCGGGGCCTGGCACAGGGCCGCCCTTCAGGCCACGCCAGTAATTCATTGTCGGTGTATCCGTAGGAGCCATGCCGTGATCACCGCTGGGAACGTGACAATGCGGGTGAACTTCGAAGACATCTCGCACTTGACGCAATTTACGTTCGATCATTCGATGACTTGTCCTTCCTCCGGGCTAGCAAGGTCTCTGAGAGCTCCTTGCAGCATCTGCTTACATCGTGTGAAGGCTTCTCAGGCCTGACCCTTCCCAAGAGGACCTGCACAGACGGCCACTGGGATGCGTAGTTCAGGCCTAATCTGGCTGTTCTTGACCGGTCGCGGGACATCCGGTGATTCGAAAAGCAAGCCTCTCAGTCAGACCAGCAGGGAAGGTAGACCGACGTGTGCGTCAGGTCCAGCAGGCAGTGTTCCCAGGATATCTCCTGCTCCGGAAACCCACGAAAACTCGAGAAACCAGTCATCCATCCTTCACATACAGTCAATCCACCCTGTCGTTTGAGTATTGCGCCGCCCATGACGGATTTGCATCAACCAACTGCTCCGTAATAGATCAATGAACCGAGTCGACTCATCAACATGGGACCTCGAGTGAAAGGCAAACTCGCCCCTCCCACGCTCGGAGGGCAGTCATGCAACCAGACACGTCCCCGAGCCGCTCATCATCTGGCCATTCCCCTAAGAGAAGGTCTAACACTAGGTTTTGTAGGGCCACAACCTTCTTCATGTCGAGCAGCAACAACCAGGCTTTGAGACCAACCCGAATGAGACTGTCAACCCTCACTGCCACTTGATCCCAGATGGTGACACAATAGCGGCGCAGAAGCAGGAAGTCGAGCAACGGGAGGCTGAAAATGCCTCCTACAAGGACTGCATCAAATCGATCGGTAGCGCCAATGAACACGAAGCTGAGATGATTTACAAGCAAATTGGGACATCAGGCAAACCCGTGCAAGGCCTTTAAAACCAGCCCGATGCAACCCGTCGCCGAGAATCGTTTATAAGAGAAAATAGGCGAACCCACATTTCTATTCGCGAATACAGGAGGGAATGTTCGTTGATGCTCGCACGCCTGCCCCACCGTAACGAGGGGCGTCAGTTTGACTGGAAGATTTGACAAAAATCATCCGTCATTGATGCCGTTCACACGCATGATGCTCTCTTCTCAGGGCAAACAACCAGAACGAGGCGTGGCGGTGGCTTGCGCAGGAGTCTGATTCCACGAATGGCTAGTCCGCAATTACCATGTTCTCGAAGAGGGGCAGACAGCTGATGATGAGATGGGCTACCAACTTGCAGACCTGGACGACTTTTCTTGATTATCGTGGCACTTGATGTACGACGTCTCCGGACATTTAACGGAATCAACCACAGCTTCCGGCCTCCATACGTCACAGCCATGGACGTCCTTGCAGATCTGTTGAAGGAGCAATATCAGCGCGTGCCATGTGACGCTTCCCATGCTCTCGGCAGTCACTCGAACTGATTAGATAATGCTGCCACCGCCCTCCTGGCAGTATCCTTGGGGGCCGAAAATGAACCAAAACCTCTGATGTCGCTGTTCTAGATAGGCAAGCGACGGTAAGACCATGGACATCATTGTGGGTTTTCTCAACGATGAGGATAGTGCATACTGCATCGTGCTGCTCTCTATAAAAAGAAGCAATCGATGCTGCTGAAAAGAATGCTGGATGTGCAACCTGTCCAGCCGCATGGTCGTACCGGACTGGAGAGATATAGTCCCGTCGTGGCCAAGACGTAGAGCCTTCGCGCGAATGCCTCCTACAGCACGGCTTCCGAAACAATATTCGGCGTGTTGGTGTTGATGGAACGCACGTGTCATCAGACAAGCGTCCGGATTCAGGGCGAAAAATTCGGTGGGCAAAAGTCAGTGCAAGTATACGGGAATCACAGCTCATAGCCATTAATTCGCCGGACTTATCGATACATGCAAGTGAAACCAGCCTGTTAATCGCTGCTCAAACGAAAATTCGCATATTCACCTGTTTGACGGAGCCGTGACATGAGTGAATCTTTGGCTGTCTTTGATTACGCAGGCGGCTCGACCGTCTCTGTCTCACCACCCATCACGTGATCGCATCAGAAGAGGGCTCGGCTTACCCAAGTTTTCAAGATGAAGAGAGCAAGTCCTCGCCTTATACACGTTCATCAAGACATCATTTGCAGTGCTTGATGGTGGTGAATCCAAGAATGCATTGGATCCTGCTGCAGGTAGCGCTCAACTTAACCAAAGCAGCTCGTCTTAATGGGCTCGCATCATCTGGCGATCTTGGTGTGACAGCATACTCGTCAGTCCTTACGCGTTTTCTTTCACGTAATAGAACCACGTGACCCTCCGCCTCACTGCTTCCACCACAAGTGCGAAACGCGTGGTCAGTCCTTGGCCCATCAGCAGCTCTTCCTCTTCGAATTGTAGAGCCTCGATCAAAATTTCATCACACCCGCCTTAGCTTAACGCTTTTCCGCCTGTGTATAGTCTCGTCCCACATAAGGATGACACCCACAAACTACAAGGCCTGGGAAGTTCGGTCAGAGCTTAACTGACACGCAAGACCGACATGGATGGAGCTTGAGTTTGAGACGGTGCCCTTCCTAGGACCGTCTACTGATCTTATTGCACGAGCTATGTTTGGGATGATATCATGAATAGCTCTGCGTGGAACTTTACCAAGATTGATCTATTCAAACAGCAAGAATGTGAAACGAAACATAAATCCACTTGACTCTGTAAAAATCCTGTGCTCTATGGAATTCAATCAAATAAGCCACGTGCCGAGAACGCCTTACAACTTCCACGGCGACCGTCCAAGACTCATTTTGCTTGCTTCGGAAGTAGCCCTAAATTGCCCCTCTCTGTAGGTCAACCACTTGCCCGATGCTGCTAGTCGACAACCTAGCCAAACGCAGCGGATCGAGCGCTCGTACATCATGGACCGGGACTCCCAATACCTCTCATCGTCATCCAACTTTGTGGCTGTGAACCAATCGCTAGGATAGTACTTATCAACCCACAGGAGGCCCCGCTGCGCGAAGTCGTCCGGCAGGGGAAGAGGGTCACCCTTATCTGGCCGGGGGAAGTCTTCTGACTCAATGATCTTGATTGCCTCAGTAGGTATATCCTTGGACTTGATAGTGTTGAGGATCAAAGCGATGAGCTTCCAAGGCATCTTCTTCTCTACCAGTCCCATTGCTGCAGGGTACTGGGACAGGTGGTGGAGGAGCGAGAGAGTGACATGCAGGTAAGGTCGGATGTTGTCGTCGTCGGACCGGTTTAGCACGATGTTATGAGTACGGGCTGCAAAATCCAGAGCGTCCAGGAACTTCTGTGTCGGAGCGGCAACAGTCTCAGCCCTTTCCATTGGGACGTCTGCGTCTTCGGCTCGGCCTGATTTGATGGCTCTTAGAATGGGATTGCTCTCGCTGCCATATTCGAGCAGTGAGCAACCCAAGGCGATAGAAATGTAGTATGCGCTATCCAGCCAGCGATGAGTGTGACGTTCGATGTGATTGTTTAAGCTGTCGATGAATTCGTTGATAGACGATGAGAGTTGATCGGCGTTCTTGCCCGAAAAGAGGATTGCATGAGCGCGCACAAAGGTTGCGTCAATGTCCTGCAGCCTCGTCTGGGTGCCATGGAGGTGCGGGTCGAACAGAGCCATGATTGACTCGCGAGCAGACAGGAAGGGAACTGGCACGCAGAGAGACTTTGTGTAGTAGAAGAGCTGCTGGAGGGCATTGGGACGAGCCAAAATAGCGAGGTGGTGGTAGAGACGACCCGTCTGAGGAGCCTTGTCACTAGCCTTTGAGTACCAATGGCGCGAGACTGAGGTCCAGACCTCTCTATTCTCGAGATCATCATCTTCGATAGCCATACTGTGATAAGAGTCAATATGTGTGCAGCAAGAAGATCGGCAACGATGTCTTGTCTTGAGTTTACTAACCGATAGCGGCCCAAGTCGCCGAGGCATTCAATCCAAGTGTCTTCAAAAGCTGGAACAGCCTCATACAACAGATCCATCATGGAGTACGCTAAATGAATGAACGTGAGCATATGTTCGCGCGAGGCGGGCAGACGATGACGCAAAAGCTCCAAGAATGTATGGATCCCATGCCTCCACATGCGCGCCGGCATTGCGTACTTGCTCGCGAGCCCTCGCAATGCTGGACTTGCAGAGGGATGCTGCGAAGCAAGGAAGAAATCATGGTGTTCGTGTAGCAGATTTCGGTGTAAAGCAACCAATGCCTGCCACTGCTCATGGTTCAGCTTGGGATTGGTCTCGTTATTTGAACTTTGAGCGTTGTCGACCTCGATACACTTTGACTCGACCATGACAAGTCCAGCGTAGATACCCTTCACCTCAGCAACAAGTTTTTCTTGGCTGATAGGGCGCGTTTCTGGCTGCTTGATAAGTACCTCAGTATTGTCAAAGTCCGAGGAACGCGGGCGCTCGAACGACCGATTGGAATCTGCTCGGGGATGGTCTGCGCCATCTTTCTCCCTCGATCGCCCGACATCGGTCCGCCGGGGAGTAGACGCACCCTCCTCAGGGGTCCATAGCCTACCGGCCTTGTGCGCCGGGTCTCTTTGGAGATCACTATCTTCCGCTCGGCAAACACCAGAGTTTTGGTTTGGCATTCTTGCACGGCTGCGCTTTGGTTGTGAAGACCTCTGATCGCTCTCCTTCCATTCATTCTTTTCCGAAGATGGACTAATGGCCCCTTGTTCCCGATGGCCGGCCACAGAATCATGGACACTCGGGTCGTCCTTGTCTATAGCTTCTAGTTTTGATGCACTTGGTTCGGGCGGAGGTTGCGATGAGCTTGAGGACGGCGTCATTCGCTGGTGGCCTTTGAATCTAAGCAAGTAAACGTCAGAATCGACACAAGCGGCTCGGTGACCAACATTCTTACTGTAACCATGTCCTCTCAACTAGCTCGTTTTGGTCGCTGCCGTGCTTCTCATGGCCGAAGTCCTGGAAATGACGCACCACATCGCTTTTCGTGGGGTTTACAGGAAATGTATAATCATTACAATATGCGCACTTTCTGTCATTGGTACCTCGCTTCGAAAGGTCGAGACCCATCCCACGCGAATTGCGAGTCATGTTTGATGTTTCCGCGTGTGTGATGCCAGAATCCGTGCAGGGAGAGAACGGGCGTGAGTGCTTCGGGCTAAAGAGATTCCAGAACGTGTTTTGGGCCGATCAGATTCTGGAGACGAGAAACCAGCAATTGAACAAGAAGGCCCTAGATACCTATATGCTGTGGAATTCCGCTGTTCTGCTGGGGTGCAATGCCGTCGGTCTGTGAGTAATTAAGTACTGGTCTCCAAGCGGAGGTTATTCGAATCCTTCATGACATCCTATATTGAGCCTTCCTGGGCGAAGGCAACGGCGAGGCGGTTGACAGCGGGTGGGCGACCCATTCCGTCCTGTGTCCTGTATTCACGCTCATACCCCCTGCGGAGCTCGATGCACACTTGGGGCATTTGTATGGACGCCTTATATGCGGCTCTTCTCTGGCGAACCATGCCTGCGGACCAGCCGTGGTTGAGATTTAGTTCCCCCTCCCTCTTTCGGTCTTTTGGATAGCACTCGCCTCAAGACTTGACCATGGGGTTGTTCAACGCTAAAGCAGAATATGATTCTGCCAAACAGAGGTCTACTTCTTTCGTGCTTGCCGTCATTGATGGTGACGGTGTCATCTCTCTAGAAATAGTGAGAAGGGTATCGAAGGAGATAATGGAGCCGGGTACCTCCTGCAGACAGCATTGAAGCCATTGAAGCCTCCGCCACGCCATCAACGCTGAAGCGAGAGTCGAGTGTTCCGAGGTGGTAGCGTCAAGAATGCCGATAAGCTCTATGATAGCTGAGCGTTGGATGTGCTACCATCCGGCGTCGTTGTGTCGCCAGCAAGCGTCTCTCGGCTTGTCCACGGCGCTGTACGCATATACTCCTCGGGTTACCCACCGCACTGTCTCTTCTCTCTTCGACCTGAGAGCATCTGTATGTGTTTCGCTATGCCGCGCTGTTGTTGCCTTGGTACATGTACGCTGCCAGTGTGATGCACGTCCTACGGCGTATGACTGGTCTGGCGCCTGGCATACACTTCGCTTCGACGAGGAGACGCTAGCCTTCCCGATTGTCAGGTTCCTGCAAAGTCCAAGGATCACCAGTGAAGAGCAACTTCATGGCAGCCTGCTAGGTTAGATGCCGTTTGGTTGGCGCTAAACTAACATCTGCCAATGTTGCAATATGTGGTGTGGTTTTGCGACGACAAACATCGTCAAGCAGATGTGATGGACCAATTAAGAAAAGCTGTGGGGCACGGAGGGATGAGGCGTTGGAGCTTGTTTACCGTGTACAGGTAGCTTTGATCATTGGTCAGTGCCCGACAGGCTTGTGGGTAGCGAAATCGTCGAGGTGGGCCCACCATGCTGGAAATGGTGTTGGGTCATACTGCGTAGGGCGAAACGATTTCGGACATACACCAGGAGTACATAGCATGGGTGCACACGGAGACACGCCTAGCACGCCCTGGTGTCAGCAGCCATCAGACACTGGGGCGTGCAAGAGTGCAGGGAATGGTACGTAGTGTGTAATCGAAGGGGCGTGCGTGGCCGCGGTTCTACTGTGCGCAACATAACCCCTGTACACACCCAACATTCTGGGCTCTGCCTGCAGCATACCAATCGAGCCATGCCCATTACGGATAGAGCAATGCCACATCCACCCATTCCCACCCCACCCCACCCGGCTGACAGGCAATACCCAAGTTGTGGGCCATTATTTTTCAGAGTCTTGATTACTTGATTCCGCCAAGTCCTGACAGAGAGCCCTCCGCCGCCGCGGTGCAAGCTGGTTTCGCCTAGCGAGAGCTGGAGTAATCAAACACGGTCATCGTCAATGCTGGCAGGGATCCCAGTGAGCAGTCCATCCCGAGTTCGCAAGCGTTTCTGTTTTGTGCCAATCCATCCTTGTTGGTGCCAACGCCATTGTCAAGATGACCGTCTGCGGATAACTCTGAACGGCCCTTTCAACAGAACACGATGCTTCATCCCCGCTGTGCCTCGAAGCTGGGATACCGGCCTTGATCAGCCTAGGGAGACTTTGCTCCATGATGCTACATAGGGCGATGACAACTACGAAACTAGCAACTCTAGTTTATGCTGGGCAGGCCATGACAAGGCTCACAATTAGCACCTTTCCCGAGAAAGAGGGGAATGAATGTTAGGCTGTACTCTGATCAGCCGCCGCGTCGTGAGAGATTGTGACGGATCAATGCGTTACCTGGCAGAACAACGGACGAACAAACACGCGACATACGGAGGTAGGTGGGTTTCCGTTTATTCGCACACAGCATGCCCGGTGCTTGAGTCAAGTGGCGGGACTGCGGGCGTTGGGCTAACTCAGAACGCGCCCGCCTTGCCACCACTTTCTGACGACAGAGGGTCGAGGCTTCGGGCCTCCCTCAGGGATACGGCGTGAAAAGCGCGCGCACTCGGGCACGGCACCGGCATGACATCTTCGAGAGCTGGGATCCGAGCCTTGGTAGCGAGTGCGCCTAGCCGCAAGCGTCCCAGTTGGGCTCGTTGGCGACGCAGACAGTTCTTGGAGATATACTGAAGAGTACTTTCGTCCATGGAGGGCTTCTCTCTAAGTGTGCGAGCGACCAGCACGCTGTGAGATCAATGTCGTCTTTCTCTGACTTGGTCGTTGTACCGTAATTACAAGGGACAGGGTCCCTAGCAGCTATAGACAGCTGTCCTGATATCTTCTCTCGCCGTCCTGGATCCATCCACCCATCCTCCTATTCTGGCCGCATACCATAGCCACGCTTGTAGAGATCCTCCTGGCCTTCCGCGTCTGGTCACGTCTCCTCGTTCACTTGATGAACAAGGCACGCCATAGGTCACAGGACAAGCATTGCAACCCTTCATTTTCAGCAGAGACTCTCAATCGATGTGTCTTCTCTCCGCCTTTGCAATAGCCCCCGAGCTGGCCCGTTGCCGTTGATCGTAATAGCCTACGATGTGTTGCTCTCTGGAGTCTTACACATTAAATTTCACCACCGTCACTGTGACAGCTGGTTCTCGGTCCGTGGAGAAGCACGCGGGCACACATCTGATAAAGGACCGGGGCACGGCAGCCAGACAAGTCCACCCTTCCCGGTCACTATCTTGTAAAAGCATAAGCGCTCGTCTCGTCTTTTTGCTAATTCCCTCGTCTTGCCCTCAGTTCATTTCTTTCCAGCAGAGTAACTCTCTCCGACAAAGCATACTCAATCGATCTAGACTTCTCAGCTTCAGTCACCATCGCTGAAACTTCTTCTGGTGCTCTCCATCGACACACAGCCATTGAGGCTTGGCTGTCTGTCAGTTTCGACTTCGTTCAGGAACTCAGCCGCAGGCCAACGACCAGTACCAAATGCTACCCCTCGTCAAGCTTTGCTTCAAAAAGAACATCGCCGTTCAACGCCGAGTGTCTTGCCCTTTTCAGACCAAGTCGATTGGTCCAAAGCATCATCATTCTGACGCAGCACGGCTTCTATAGGTGGAGAGACCGTCAATAATCGAATATGCACCGAGTCTCCCGTCAAGGTCATTGCGCCCAGTTGTATGCGTCTTCTGCGATTCCTGACAGAGTCAAACCGTCACCAAGCCTTCCCACAGTGGCATCATGGTTTTGCCACCCAATGAATCAGACCCCGACGACTGGCTCACTTCACATTTCGTTCATTCCCAACGACGACACTGGTGCACCTGACATCGGGGCTGGACACGAGTGTGAGTTTCGCGACTCGACAACATTAGAGCCTCTCACTGTGCAAGAAGGAGACAGTAAAGTCGGCAACAAGCGGGAGCGAGCGAGGAGTCTCGAAGACACGACGCTCTCCGATGAGATCACAGTCACTGAGTTTGATCAGAATATTATTTCGGCACCCTATCTCACTGTTGACGTTTGGCACCAACTCTTTGACCTCTATCAATTGCACTTCGCCACCGAACTCTCGTTTTTGCATCTCCCAACTCTCAAGGGCATCATTCACGACAAAGACAACGAGAAGCCGTCAAACGAATCGAATCTGGCCCTATTGGGCATTCTGGCTCTCACTGCAAGATTTCATCCCGACTTGATCGAACATGTCGCACACATTACACACCACAAGATCGCGGGCCCAAGGTTTTGCGGTGCTCTACACAGGCTGCAGCCATCAGTAGCATTAGAGTACTTCGCAAATGCTCTTACAAAGGCACTGGGAGAAGTCGAATCAGCCATAACATCGGCTACTGTCGTTCGAGTCCAAGCTTTTCTCATGCTTAGCTTGTATAAATGGAGTCGGCCGGATGGCGGCCTGGCTGCATGGATGTACGTTGACCTCGCCACGCGGATGGCTCAAATTATGAAACTCGGATCTGCACAAGTGCCCTCGCGTTGTTGGCAAGACCAGGAGTCGAGGCGCCGCACTATGTTCAGTTGCTTCATCCTCTGTCAGCTTGTATGTTGCGCATCTGGCCGAGTACCCGCTATTCAAGCTCACGACCTTCCAAAGCAGCTGCCGTGCAGCGACGAAGCCTTCAACTTGGGTGGCAGCATTCTCATTCGAACACCGCGGCCTGTGGGACAAGGAATCGAGGAAGTATTCGAAGATAGCGTTCTCGGCCGATTCGTCGACCTGATCAAAGTCTGGGGCGACATCTCCAAATACAGCATTTTGGGCGGACGCGACACTGGAAAGGAAGAAGGGACGCCGCCATGGGACGAAAAGTCGACCTTCTACCAGCTCAGTCAGGAGATAGACACCTTCTACACAGGACTTCCGGAATGCTTCACATGGTCCACCTCGAACTTCTGGAGACACTCTAACAGCATATACGTGTCATTTAATATGCTGGCTGCTCTCTGCAGAATCGTGCTGCATCGCGAATATATCCCCTTTATCGCCATCAACTGCGCCAGGCCGATGGGCCCGATGGCGGAGCTCGGATTTGACCCTGGCGCTGCTCCCGATGGCCATTGGAAGCGAAGCGCAGAGCAGATCTTTAAGGCTAGTAGGGAAATCGTCGACCTTATTACGTTATGTCGGGACAGACTGCCCTATTCGTCGTTGGTCTTATTCGCCATCAGGCAAGCAGCCTTTGTCGAGATATACGCAGCGCACTATCCCCATATGGATACTCAGAATCACATGTTCAGTGAGCAGGAAGTCGCAAGGCGGAAGTCGAGACCGATGTCCGACAACTGGCAGCCAACCACCACTACTTACCAGGCACTGACAAAGGCTACACCTTACTTCAGCGTGGCGTCCAATTATGTCATATACCTGAAAGGCATAGATCAGTGTCTCACTCAAATCAACTCCGAATATAGAGATGGAGGTTCTAGGCAGAGTAGAGTTGATCCTTTGGGCATTCGACGAGATGGGCGTGGCGGCGATTGGGACGGGCGACGGAATCCCCGGCCAATTCACCAGCAAGCCGGCTCCCATGACTCCTCGACTCATGGCTTTTCACCGACAGTCGGCTCACCACAAAACGAAGTGGAAATGGCTAGCAAGAACGCAAACGAATTGAAGCCTGACGTCTATGTACAATACCAACAGGGCCGGCGGTTGAGCATTATCTTCGATGACATTTCCGAGTTTGCTACCGGAGGCAAAGGCTGCACGCCGAACTTGGGATCGCGGAACAGATTCAATCCCCCATTCTGTTGGGGCAGTGATCCGTATCCAAGACTGTCATCCAATGAATCGCAGCCTTATGGGAGGGTGTGACGACGAATTCCGTTGCCTGGTAGGACAAAGAAGAAGAATTGACTCGGAAGAAGCTCGGCACGGACGACAAGCACGGCGACTACACAGGCGTCCCCCTCGAACTACCATCTATTGCCGAAGCGAAGCACCCTTCTGGACTTGTCGATCCTAGCGATCAATTCTACGATGTGATCGAGTCGAGCCCGTCCCGCTCAACTTGAAGGAGACCAGGTGTGATACATACGGATAGGATGCTACTCAGAGACAGCAAAGCAGCCCAGAGTGGCATAGAAGCTTCCAAGGATCTTACTTCTCACATACGCTCGGACTAGCATGTCCATAGGCCTGTCGGCATACTAGTGCTACTCCAATGCCGTGCTTTTTGGCGATGAGGAAATAAGTTGGAATTCGGATCTCGAAACCAAAGCCCGTATGGCCTTCGAGACGCCGCAACAGACTTGGAAGGTTCATCAACTCGTGTGGTCGCGTTGGCATAAGTAGGTTTCGAGAATTACCCATGAGAGGGTCTCGGCACCAGAAAGCGCGGCCTAGTATTGTTCAGCGCGCGTTCAAGGAGGACTACTGGGCACATACCAAGGGCATGCTTGAAACACTGGCAAGAAATGTTGCCAATAGACACACTGTGTAGTAAATACAGAGCATGAGGCAGAAGTGGCTGGGCCTTGAGAACCGATATGGTCTCGATGAAAGTAGGTATGAGACCAGCGCGCCGCTAATGAGAGCATACGGACGGATCAATCGCAAGTACGATGGATACCGAGCCGCCAGGTGCATCGCCAGCGACAGCACCCTGCTTCCGAGAACGATCCTGCAGGCGGTCCGACTAGCCAGCTCGATCTGAGAACACATCAGTAAGGTCAGTCCCAAGTCTAATATGCACTCACATATTTGTCCATCGTAACAATGACCCTGAATAGAGCCCACAGGAGAGTTGGGGTCGAAACACACAGGGCCAGAATGGCCACGAACATGACTGCAGTCTTGAGGACGGCCCACGATGAGGAATGTGATCAGCGGGCTGGGCAAGGGTTCGGAGAAAGCAGAAACTTTTGCAGAAAGGGGCCGCCGGGCATGGAAGTAGTGGCGCGGTCACTTGTACTCGCAGCAGCCTATCCCGTCAATCGGAGATTGATGGTGAGAGTAGTGTCGTTGAGCAATTGTTCATATGCATGCGTTGGGCGCCAGCTTGACTTCGTCTAGGCCATCCCACACGGGTGGAATCTAGCTTGATCCGTGTACGGGGTGCTTCGTCATAGGAATTCGACGCTTCGCACGTAAAGGCGCATGTTTGTATCTGCGGACAGCGTGAGCTCATTCCAACATTCCAAGGCAGTGCCAGCTTCTACCCGGTTTGGAGCAGCGGCCCCTGCATCTTGACGACCGTCACAACCGGGCAGACCGCCAACTTGTTGGAGGACTGCGCTCGCCAACTTTGGGGTGTCGTCGAAATGGCCTATGATCCGCGCGCCAGTGACTAGCGCTATCTGAAAGGTAATTCGTGCTCCTAATTGATTAGTGGAGTGTAGACCGACCCCGCCGTGTCTGTGTCCTCGAACCCCTTACGAACGGGCTGACAAGGAAGTGTGCACACGCCACCACCACCATCCGCGTTCACGCCCGGAATCCTCAGGGATGCTGCAGCACACCCCCAGGCCCAGGATGCCACACACGCTAGCGTCGTATGGCGATGAACCGGGGTGGCTGGTGGGTATGGTTGGGTACTCGCCCACCCCTGCTTCGGTACGCCGTTTCCTGCCATCCGCCGAGCAGTGCGAGAGGCACGCGATAGATTTCATCCAACAGGACTCCAGTGAGAGCACCTGCGCTTCTCGTCGGCAATGGAGCACTTCACTCATCTCTTCCGGTCGCCCATCGCTCTCGCATCTTCCCCTTGCCAAGCTATGCTGCCCGCAGCGACTCTGACCGCCTCATTCCGCTTCTGCATCGGGTTCGATCAGGGATATGGAGTGGACAGACTCGAATGACACAGGCTGACTGTATTGCTGCGCTGTTCTGACCAGATCGCCCTCGAATTCCTGCTCTTGGAAGGCACGATGGCTTGTATTTCTTCTCCTCTTGCCTCCTCTACCTCGTAGGCGAGCGCCGAAGGCCATGGCCTAACAGGTCTCACGAGGTACATCCTCGACACCATCCTGGCATAGACAACATTCCCCCTTTCTCCCACGCACACTCCTTTCTTTTGGTTTATCTTTATGATGTGTCAGATACCCGACAGATTTCAGTTTTCAGTTTTCAAGGCTTGCTTTTTTTTTCCCCAGCTTCAAGAGAAACGGGGGGAAAAGATAAAAATGGGAACATCGACGCTCATGGTCCCATTTCGACCCCCCTCACGACAATGTTTAGTGCGGTTCATCCAAGCCTGCATCCCTCGCCGGTTGTCCTCCATTTGCGTGTGCACTTCTTTTCGTCCTCAGCAACATTTTAGCCTGGATCACCGACTTGCCCGTCATTGCCCAGGGACTATTACGAGACCCTCGACAAACTTTAAACAGGTGTTAAAATCCGTCTTGACTCCCTGGTGCACCTTATGTCTCGACAACCGGTCAACAGCCCTGCCGTGGAAAGCATGGACGCTTCTCAGCACCAACTCAACAGTCTTGACACTATCTCATCCTCCTATCCGTCGCCCTTCGCCGAGACGCCTCACTATGTCCAGCATGCCACCTTCTCGCTGTCTCACCAGATGTCGACGCCGTCGCAACCGCAGACATCCGCGGCCTCGTATGACATGTACGAAAGCAGCCCTTCCGGTCCCCCTACTCCTCCCAACACTCCACGCTCCCAGGACGACACGCAGCAGCAGCAGCTTCACGGTCATCACCACCAGATGACCCAATTTCCCCCCCTGACCCAGGCGTATGGTACTCAATCTATGCAGCCCCAGATCACGATGGCTCTTTCCCGTCCTCAGCCCATCGCGCTTGCCTCGGCGTCTGGTGCTCATGGCAGATTCTCTTGCCCTCACCGGACCAAGACCTACTTTCACGTGAAGGACCATCTGCCGCTCCGTGAGTGATAACCCACTAACCCACGTAGCTTATTCTCTAGCTGACACAAATGCTCAATAGACACAGGTGACCGTCCCTACGAGCGTGTGCTTTGTCACGATACTTCCTCGCGAAAGAACACTCTCAAGCGTCGCTCCCAGAAGCGCTCCATTCGCCGAAGTAATCCGATTGGTGCTAGTCACTTATCTCACCCTCCAGCTCATGTCAAGAAAGGCGCTGCTTGGAAACGACGGTCACCAAGAAATAGAGTGTTTGAGAAGATTTCTCATGGATATCGCTGGTAGTGCGAGCATGAAACGTTAGTGCCTCTGGATCCGGAATGCCCCATGCAAGTCAGCAGAGAGAGCTTCTTCTGGTGGCGGCGGTGGTGGAGGGTCAAACACACATTCAAAGGCACGAGCATACGCTGCTTAGTGCGGAATTTGAGAATATGAATCGCATCGGTAAGATCCTCTTCTGTGCCGTTCTCGACGATGGCCACCGGATCACCTCGCTGGTACTCTTGGTCGTCGAGAGATCGCCCGTCCTGGACAAGCGTGCCATGCGCAGGCTGCATGTTTGCGTTGACTGGATCGCTATCTAGAGGCGGAATATTCGACATGGTCTTACAAAGAAGACTACTAGTCTAGCGAAAAGGAGGAAGAAGTGGCAAGGCAGCAAGGCAAATAGCAACACTACTACGAGGATTAATAGTTTTCGGCGTGGGTACATAATACCGCAGGCACGAATAAACGTGGCGTCGATTCCTTATTTCTACGTAGGAGTGCCATCTGGGCGTTAATTAAATAGAGTCATGATCAATTCCCGCGCAGACTAGAATGGGGTCTGGATACAAAGAGACCTTTTGTAATAGAATAGTTGCTGCAAAGCGTCTAGACGGGCTAGAATGGCAAGATAATGATACAGCCAGCCTTTAGTTTAAGCCTTACCGCTAGCTATTGAGGATTAATGCCGTGAAACGGATGTCTATACTTCGCGGGCCTTGAGGCAATGGCCATCACACGCAGCCGTTAGCGTAGAATCTCTATTACAGAGCAGGTACTTCGCCAGTTTATTACTATATTACCGATTTATTTAATCTAGGTGTGCTTAAAAGCCGGCATAGTATTATGTAAGAGAGCTACTATAGAGTACGCCTAATAGATGAATGCTGGTATATATCCAAGCGAAGCGGGTAGACGATAGTGCAGTAGCTCTAAGAAGTTATAAAATATATACCTCTATATACGCTCCGGTAGAGAGTATTTGCTAGCAAGCCGTTACAAGGCTTCGCTGGCTGAGGGGTACTAAGAGGTAAGGAGGAAATTGGTGCTCTTGTAATAGCGTCTAATATAGACCTATTAAGGGCTGCTACTATTCGTAAGTAAGCTTAAAGTTCGTTTCGTTATTTAATTCCTAAGCATTATCCGCTTTGATGCATTAGTTCTTAGTTAGGATAAGCCCGGTGTAAATGCCCTTCCTATTGCTCCTAATCGTTCTTGACTGACGGGACGAGTATCAAGTTGTCTAACCATTACCTCGGCATTGTTAAACTCGGCAGGACGGGACTCAAACTTGCGGCGGGATACGGACCCCCTCGGACGGTACGTGGGAGTTGGCTTCGTTAGCTGTAGCCCCTTATCTGAATGCCATTTTCTCTCAGGCGCCGCATTCTTGGGAGGTGGTGTGGCGGGACTGCGCTTCGTCTCGTCAAACGCTACACGTTTTCGCTCTAGAACAAAATCAGAGGATAAATGCGAAGATGCCGTATTCTGATCGGCATTGAGATTGGACTTCGATTGCGTATCGTCCTGCTGTTGGTCGGACGTCTGTACGCATTTGACCCTCGTAGCAATGATCCCAAGCAGAGCCCACACAGGGGTCGTAATCGCAACGCACAAAGCCAGAATGGCTACGAACATAGCTGCAGTCTTTTGGATGAACCACGACGAGAAGCAAGAATCGCGGACTGGGCAGGTATTCGGGACAGCCAAGAACTCTGCTAGGCCATCGCGCATCTAAGCAGTGGCGCGGTCACTCGGACATAGGTGGATTCATTAACAGGGCGATCGTCTGCAGTGATTCCACGCATCGCACCTAAAGGCACATGTTGCGCAAGGCAGTGCCAGCTCTACCGCTTGGGAGCAGCAGCCCCGCAGAAGCATCCGCGCCTCGCTGGTTGTCAGACCTTGGCAGATGACCAACTGGCCGAAGGGCTGATGATCGTGCGTCGGCGGGGTTGAACCCAGGAAGACAAGAGGGAAGACAAGAGAACGGGCAACACCTCTTATCTGCATGGCTGTCATGCCCAGCTGGCTGTTGCCATCAACCCCGAGTCTTGCTCATCGTGCTTGTCACCTCAGCGCGCTCGCCAATTTGATGTGTCGTCGCCATGGCTAATGATCCGCGCGCTATAGGAAGTAGCGTTGTCTGGAAGGCCATTCGTGCTTCATACTAGGCCCTTGTTAGATAGGTGGAGTGATAGGCCGACACCAGTCGTGTTAGTGTCCCTGCCCTGGAAAGAAGGCCAGGGGGGTGGGTGTTTGCACGGCGTTACCACTACCATCATTCGCGCCAACGCCCATCTGTGCAGGGATGCTTCGACCCCCAGACTCTTCTCCTGCTGATAGGGTTTGTCTCCCGCCAGCGTCGTATGGCGACGAACCAAGGTGGCTGGTCGTCAGAGTCAGGTACTTGTCGTCCCCTGCGCCGGTACGCCGTTCTCCGCCATCCGCTGAGCAGTGCGAGCAGCCCGCCTTAGACTCCATCCAACAATATGCCCGATGAAACATCTACGCTTTTCGTCGGTGATGGGAGCATCAGTTTTTTGTTCCGGTCACCAATCCGGAAACCACTTTGTCATCCTTGTCTTGTCGGCCTGTGCTGTCCGTAGACACCTCTGTGCCCCCATTGAACGCCAGAAGAGCAGATCCACTACCGGGCAGACTGTACGGACCGAGACCTGGTTCTCGGGCTAGTGCTGGATTGGCCATCGCTCGATAATTCCTTCACCATTTATCTCCGTCACCACCCTAGCAAGGTCGAGGTTTCCTTTCTCAAGCACACGCTTCATAATCCCCCTTATCAGACACTTGGCAGTCTTGTTTTCTGCGCGAAGAAAACCGCGAAGAGAATTGTGGAACCAAGAAGCATCCGTCCATATAAGTTCTTTTCCCAGTCCTCCCTGGAAGAACTTCTCACGGGATTAATTGTAGCCTTATTTCATCATCACAGAATATCCGCTCTTCGTCTGACAAAAAGCTTATCCTGAATAAGTTTCCAACTGGGCTTCACCAGATACCTGGAGCATATCTTGCTTTCCACCTGGCAGCGACATCTTCAACTGGACCAACGACGTGACTATTTTCGTCGCTCGGTAATACACGACACTCCCAACGATCCCGTACAGACGTAAGAACGCGTCTTGATCTCGCAGCAAGCAAGCTGTGCTGCGGGGCTTTGTCTCGACAAAAATCCGACAGGCCTACTGCGGACAGCATGGACGCTCCTCAGTACCTTACCGATGGTATAGACACGAACTCTGTCTCTTACCCGTCGCGTCCCGCCATCATACCTTGTCAACCTCAGCAAACCAAACGTCTGCTGCCTCACCAGACTCTGCCGCCTCTGCAGCCGCAAACCCTCGCCGCCATAGACCCGATGAACCGCAGTAACCCCCACACTCCTAGCACTTCCGCGATTCCCAGCACGCCGGATTCCCAGACCGACATGATGCCGTTCCAGCATCAGCAGCAGCCGCCTTACAATCCTTACCAGCACATAGGCGAGCGCCCTCCCCTGCTCCAGACGTACGACACTCAGTCCATGCTGCCCCTGACCACGATGGGCACTTCTCACCTTCAGCCCATCGCGCCTGCCCCGGCGTCTAGACATGTTTCTTCTGTTCTGCATTCTATGCCCGCTAATGTGGCCAGGCCTCGGTCTGGGATGACCTCTCACCGCGGCACTGGCTGTGTCATTTCCGGTGGTATGGATGATGTCGATCAGACTAAACATGTCATCGGCTCTTCTAGTCGCCGTGGAGCTCTCACCGGCGCTTCTGGCGGACCTACCGCTACTCCTGCTGGCACTGGCAACACCAAGAGCACTGTGATACCAGTCAAAGCTAACGGCAAGATCCCTGACCCTCACTACGACAAAACCTACTTGCAAGCGAAGCGCCAGAAGAGTCGCCTTGTACGCCGTGAGTAATGACTCGCTAAGCCGCGCATCTTATTGCCTTGCTGACAAAGTTGATCTGTAGACACGGGCGGCCACTTGTATGAACGGCGTGACAACATGACTTCGCGTAAAGATAAGATGTTCTCGAATGGCGAGCCCAACTCAGGCCAGCTATCAAGCCTTGATCGGACTCGGATCCGCCAGGCTGGATTGCAACAGGCCCGTGAGAATCATACTCAATCTTCTCTTGGACGTCCCGTACAGACACTGATCGCACCCGACCCGGTCCCTACTACTGGCGTTCAGTGTTCAAGTGGACCCTCTGGCCCCTTAGACCACCGCGATTCCCTTTTCTTTTCGACTTGGAACGTGCCGCAATCGATCGAAGATCCTTTTGCACTCCTTTCCGACCGGATCCTCAGCTTCCTCTATTCTGCAGATTCCCCGATAACCAACGAACGCACCAGCTTCAACCAGTACTTCTCCGCTGGGAATGTTCGCACCCTACTGGAAAAGTACACTGAAGTCAGTGTCAGATGGCCTATTCTCCATACATCCGCGTTCTGTATTGTGGATGCCTACACTGGCTTGTTGGTGGGCATGTGCTGCTTGGGTGCCCACTACTCTGCCCTTATCCAACCACATCACGTGCGCGACCTAACAAATTTCCTTGGGTCCGAGCTAGCTCGTGATCTGGTGCCCTCAGCTGACTTGGTGAGCAAACAACAGAGTTGCGACGCTGGCGCAAATACCTCGAAGGACAGTCACCCCTACCTGGAGAAACTTCAGGCTCTAGCCATGCTACAGATTCTGGTGGCCTTACAAAGCACACCTCAGCATCGGACTTCAATAGCTGTGACGAAGTACACTGATTATCTTTGGCGGCTCAACGTTGAACCTGGCATGCCTGATTCATAACACTGCGCAGGAGCATCTATAACTCCACCGTAACTCCGCTGTTAAGGGCTACCCTGGTGCCCAATCTCAAATAGACATGTGGAAATTTGACGAGGCGATACGAATCTGCAGGTAAAGTGCCGTCATGGAGGGTCACATGATTGATGCACCTACTAAAGTCGATGAAGACGTGAGCTGTGTCAAACGGGCGTTTCAAGACGAGGATATGGGATTGTTGGGACAGTTATATGTGGATAAAGTTAGAGCGTCAAGCCTGACGCTCACCGTCATTCGACCCTCTTCCGGTGTCAGTGAACCATTCAGGCATACCTGTTGTATGAGCTGATATCTACAGAGGGAGAGGGCGGCCATTTCGGAAAGATAGAAAACAAACTGATTGCATTAGAGTAAGAGTTTGTCTTTCGATTCATTTTCCATTCTTTTCTATATTCTTTCCTTCCTGGCTCATTCAATCACTATCACGGTTTATTGTGGAAAATTGATACGATTACCTCGTGTGTCAAAGTCGATCTGACAGTGTCTACTTCTAATGTAATACGTCTTGGACGGGGAATTGATATAGCGTTAGATTGCCATTATATAGAACTTGATGCTCCTTGGTGATACATGCATTATTACTCATTTAGACTTGTTGACCACCGTAATTGTGATCTTTAGGCCCAAGCCAGTGTTTCTCCTCGGCCAACTCGTCGAAGTAAAGGACGGCACCTCCTTAGGCTAGAACCACGATGACAAAGCCTAAACGGTCCCTCAAAGCTTTCATTTGCTCCACTATTGGCGAGGATAGGTGGTTTTGACTGCGTGTTCATGTCGGAAATCGTAGGAGAATGTGAAAGGGGAAGGTATATCATCCAGCACCCTGGACGAAGGCGTCGGGAAAGTCATAAGAACATCCTGATCCCAGACTAAAAAAAAAAAAGCCGATACCAGGGGGTTTCAGTAGCTGAGAAGCGGAAGAGGCCGGCTAGATGTGTGTTGGGCCGTGGAGACATCCTCGCTCACAACAGCTTTACCTTCCTGAAACCACATCATCAATCATGTCCACTGAGAGCCAAAACATTCCACAGGACCCCTGGCTAAAAACGAGGGAGAACAGGCAAAGAAGGGTGAGCAAGCAGCGATAGCCATTAAAGATGGGCATACACTCAATCCGGAGGCCGACGGCACAGTGGTTAATAACAAACCAAGTTTCCACCCTCCCCAGCCTGTGTCGCGGGCACGTGAGCGTTAGAATAATTGCTGTTGTTTAAGATAGCCACATTCCACCTCGTTTGACTTTTAGATTCCACATCCTTGGTTTTCTCGTTTTGCCCTTAGAAATTTCCAGCAGGTCAACTCTCTTCATCCCCACATAAATGATCGACCTCGACTTCTCGGCGCCAACGACTATCGCTAGAGCTTGTGCTCTTCATCTCCAGAAAGTAAAAAGAAGTCGTTTGTTCAACTATGAGCCCTTTGGCTATCTGGCAATTTTAGTCACGCTTAGAAACTTAACGTGTATTCCTTTACCTCGACAGATAGTGGCCATCACCCTCCAGCTCTGCGCATCTTACCCTCTCTATCATTCATGCGCCCCGTCGCTTGCTCCCCTTGCTGGCTCCACGGGTCCATAGCAGACCCAACCGTCACAATTTCTTCTCAACTATGCATCAAGTCTTTGCTGTCTCCTGCCTCGGACTCCGATGACGCACTCACAGCGCTCCCTACTCAGGCCACGCCAAAGGGAAGATGTTACAAACCCTTAACCCGACAGGAGAATACCTCTACAACTCTCGCCGTAGCAAAGCCGGCAAGCAAGCAAGCTCCGGAAATAGCCATACCTCAGGGTTCCATCGTGCCCGACGGCGATGACTCGAAGGCGACCTCGGCGAGAGGCTCAAGTGCTAAAAGACCCTCTAGAGCTATGCAGCCGCCGATGAGATCTAGCATAGCTTGTTTGAGATGCAGGAAATCCAAAACCAAATGCGACAACGACAACACCGGATCACCTTGCGACACATGCATCAAGGCAGGACATAATTGCGAGTTTCCTGATCCAAAGCCTCTTCCGGCGAAACGATCAAAGCCGCCGACTGTGCCAAGGCAGGTAGTGGAAGTCGGGCATGTCCGGAAGCGAGTAAAGAAGCTCGAAGATGCAACGTCCTCTAATAGACGTACTACTACTGTACTTACTTAGGAAGTCTTTTTAGTAACCTATCTTACTATCGATTTATAATATTAACTCTTCAATATTTTTAAGCTATACTTCGCTACTAAACTCCCATTTTTATATTTCTTAACTCTTAAGAGCGTTATTTATAATAAAAAGAGTAAGAAGCCGTTAACCAAATCAAATCTTATCCTACTAAGTATTTTAACTCTTACTATAAGATTTTATTCTAACTTAATTAAATATATAGCATATTTTATTTATAATAAGATCCCGGACCCTAAATCTTATAGTGCTCTATTTAAGTCGGAGCTATTAATAGCCTTAGAGTACTTTTTAAACGCTCTAATAAAGGTACTAAGAGAACTAAAATTAGCTTTAATATTAGCTACTATTGTCCGCGTTTAAGCTTTCCTTAAGCTTAGCTTATATAAATAGAGTTAGCCAAATGGCGGCTTAGCTATATAGATATATATTAGTATTACTATATAAATAGCTTAAGGCTTAAAATTAGGGTTTAGAAATAAGCCTTTAGGTAGTAAGAGAACTCTAGCCTTATCTCCTCGATTAAGTAAATCTACCTAACTACCCTCCAACCTTTAAAAAAATTAAGAGGTTAGGCATTATACTATATTTAGTTACTTAATACTAAATCGTTTCCTATCTTGCAGATTAGATTAGGTTTTTATAGTTCGGTTTAACGATTTTTAAATCTAGTTACTATATACTAAATACGCTTTTAACCTTAGCTATATCGTCTATACTAAATTTTTGTAGCAAATAGGACATAGTATAAAGCCACTAATAAATAATAGCGTATTAAGTCGATTCGTATAACTAGTAGATTTTTAGGGTAATATTACTAAGTATAATTTTATAGGCGGCCGCTATACGGAATCCCTTTTACTATAGGACTAAGAGTCGACTTTTTATTAATTAAATAAGAAAGTAGACGCTTTTTATGCTCACCTTTTAGAAGAGTTTACCTAGTCTAGCTCGAACTTTTAAAAACACAATAATAATATATATATATTACTTTATATACTAAGTACCCTATATAAAATTATACTATATTGCGAATATATCCCGTTTATTATTATTAAATATTTTAAGCCGGTTAGCCCTCTAGATAAGCCTATATTTAACTATAAAACCGTTCTTAACTATTTTTAAAAACGAAGCGCAAAATAAGTTTTTAAAGCTAAAAGGGATATTATCGACCTTATCTCGATATATAAAAATAAACTTCTATATTCGTTACTAGTTATATTTGCGATTTAGTAAGTAGTATTTATAGGAATATATATACGGCACTACCTTTATATAGATACTTAAAATTATATAGTTAGTAAACAGGAGATTAAAGAACGGAATTTGGGAAACATATCTGAGAGCACGTAGACAGGGAATACTAGTATCGCCTTCTGTGCATTAACTAAGGTTATACCCTACTTTAGTATAGCCTCTAATTACGTTACGTATTTCAAGGACGTTAATTAGTATCTTACTAAGGTCTACTCCGACTACATAAATCGAGGTTTGAAGAAGAGCGGAGATGGTTCTCTGTCTATTCGACTGGGAGGAGGTGGCGGCGGACTGGAAGAGTGGAGGGCAAAGGCCGACAAGATTACGAGCAATGGCATCATCATGGACGACGACCGGCCAACAGCCTACGACGGCTCCGATGGATCGCGGGCTAGCACATTGGAAAGGAGCTCTTCTTTGTCGGACAGCCGGAGAGATTCCCGCCAAGCGTCGTCATTTACCGCCATCAACGCCGCCGCATTCCACCAGCAAGCCGGTCACGAAGGCTATGCCGGAGGCATTTCACATCACTCACCAACTCAGGGCTTCCCGCCAACTCCCGGCTCCCTATCAAACGAGGCTGCGATGGCTAATGTCAATGCCGAGACAGTCAGCATCGATTCATATGTGCAGCAGAACCAGGGTCAGCGATTCGGCACTATGCTTGAGGACATTCAGGAATTCACGGCGGGCGGGATGGTCTGCGCGCCCAATATTGGTGACTGGGACATGCTCAAACCCCCCTTCTATACGCAGATGGCCGGTGGCAACGCATTACCCCAGTTCAGCGGGAGTTATTCTTGAAATGGTCAGGTGAGCAGGTGGAACAGGCTTCTAGGCCCCCAACCCGAGACATGGTTATATGGAGATGATGTATGGGAACGTTTGTGTCAGGGAACTACATTTAAGCGCGTGTGAGATTTTCAGACGGAAGTTACGAGTGCGTTATAATCTTGGGTACGAAGCTATCTCAATTCCTCCCCACCGCGGAGCGAACAGCCACAGGAAAATGTCGACCGAACATAATCAGCATGAGAGAGCGTTAGACAAAAGAAAAAGATAATCATCATCATATTTATGAAGAGTTGTTGCGCGATGTAATCAGTTGCGCCACATAAGGGAAGGGCTCCGACAAGACCAACACTAACACATGACGAAAGTCAACTGACGGGAGTCCTCTCCCTTGGCGCTGCCTTCCGCGGACGTTGAGCCACGTTCTCGTCACGTCCGCGTCACGCAATTTCCTCTTTTCTTCCTGCTTGCAGTTTTTCGTTCACGTGGTGGGAGCGTATCAGCAGTCGAGTTCGAGTCAAAAGAGGAGGAACATGTTAAGTCAGTCTTGTTAGGAAAAGTCGGGGTCAAATGTCAGTCAAAGAGGTCTCTGTACGACGCCGGCCGTGTCCGCTTCCGCTGACATGTTTCGGCACTGGAACAATGTCTCAAACTGGTTTCCTGAATGAAGGTTTACCGATTCCAGGGTACGCGTTGCGTTTGGTGGTGGGTGGCACGGTGGTTGCGTTGCCTTGCGTTGCGCAGCCTTTTCGCACAAAAGTCGACCGAAAGGGAGCGCATTCCAATCCATCCGTCAACCCCAACCCAACCCTTGGAGGGTAAGAAGGCCCGTAAGGTAGTTCTAGCCCACCAGAGATCATCCCCGAGCTCCAGCCAGCCACACGGAGTTCAGGGTTGAGAAGGTTGCAGGCGTCGATGTTTAGGGGCTCTCTGGATGACGTGGGATCACTCGAATCCTGAGGTCTTCTGTTTTCTGGTACCTTGAGTGTGTCTAAAGTAGGCTATTGGGCTTACGGAAAACTCCATCAAACTCCCACGTCTTCTTTTTTCCCCTCCCTCACACCGATCCGGTAACAAGCTGCTTTCCAGTTTCTCACCTGGCTTCTAGGTTATACCTTTGTACCACGCACACTGTTTGTTTTATTTTTTTCCCTTTTACACCTCCCGAGGAAAAGGTTGTTTAATCTTGTTGAATGGAATTTTGCTATCTCATCAGACGGACGTGTGATCGTCACCAAATGCCAGCGTGCGGTTTGTGCGGTTTATGCAACTTGCCTGTTTCGTATATGTGCGTTGGGAAAGGAGAGAGTGGTTCCTGTTACTCCCGGTCCGAACCGCGCGGTGGGTTCGGGCGATAATGCTGACCCGACCGGAAGGTAAGGTAGTGCAGAGGAGGGCAGCGAGACGCGTTTCCGGTGTGGGGCGCGGGTCAGGCCCGGGAGCTTGCAGGTCCGTATGGGACGGATGGGGCCCGAGACGGTAACCGGACCGTGCGTGTGAAGACAGAGAATACGCGATCCCAGAACAGTATGGACGATTAGAGCAGACAACCGTGTCTGTGAGCGAAATTCTTTCCAACGAGGACTATTGCCCAGCATCATCGAACTGTTGTTGGTAATCAAAAAGTTCGTCCCAAAAATAGCAGCCGTTCGCACCCGGCCGTGCCGTCGATTCCTTCGGTGATTACCTTTGTAGTGTGTTAAACTCATATTAGAAGCCCCCAATGGAGACCAGTCGGTGTCTTAGACATGGATGTCTCCAACCGGCCAGCACATTAAACTTGTGAATACCGCCCGCATGCCTCAACAGAACGCTCTTGAAACTTGTGATGCCTATAAGCTGACAAGAAAAATATGAGCTTAGCCTTGAAGCGAGAAGTTTCTGCTATCTCATGCAAAGGAATCTCAAGCGAGAAAAAAGCTCTGGAGGTCCTGCGCGTCGCCGGCTCGGTATCGAATCGTTCCGCCATGGGCAGACGTATGAGCTGAGCGCGTCGACACCAAGTCGCGGTTCTATGTCCCGAGGTTTTGAATCCGGTGTATGACCGTGTGAATGTAATGATAGTTTCTAGCTAATTCTTGTTGATAAGTCACGCCTGGGACATCTAGGTTCATCTTGCAGCTGAATCCTCTATCAGTATGCAGGCGTTCTCTAGCGCATTCGTCCATGTACCGCTTGTGCCTGCGTGGCTGTGTTTAAGGTGCTGACGAAAATGGTCCGCACGGAAGAATTTCTTGCTCGAGTTACACTCTCGGAACTTGTGGACCTCTCGAAGATGGTAGACACGCTCATACCAGTCCTGCTCAGTGCCGCGATGCGAGGCGGGATCCCCTGAACCTCTCCCATTTTTGAGAAACTCCTCACCGCAGTAACCACAAGAGTCTGCTTCACCGGGACGATTCGTACTATCGTGGAAAGCTTGATCATAGTCATTCAGAGCCGAGCAACTCCAGCTTTTGTCCCGAACATGAACACTATTTTGATGGCGTTCGGCCTCGTTCTTGTTCTTAAATCGATTTCCGCAGAACGAACACGCATACGGCTTTCCGGCTTCATGAGACCTGCACATAATCAGCTCATGATCAAATGATCTCGCAATGTCTGAAAGCTTGTTACTGACGCTAATTCCGCGGCCGAAGTGAATTTCTTGGGTTTCTTCGGGCAACAGTCGCAT